CATATTCATTAACGTTCAGTGAAAATAGATTCAATTGTCAAATTAAGGTGAAACATGCTCTATATGTATTTCTCTTATTGGAAACTTCCAAAGCATACTAGTGTATTATGTATTCCTGTAAGTCTGGCAGTAAGAAAACTTTCTTTAAAAATTATTTAGCCAAGCGATTCCCAAATATATTGGATACCAGAACCTAACTTTTCACGTATTCTGGGTTATATGATAAGCCTAAAATAAAATTAATTTAATGATCTAACTTTTCCCAGATAAAAAGCCAGATCCATATGTGATCTAATGGGCCCAAAGCATACGCATTGTCCTTGAAATTAGATTTGAGACTGTTTGACTGCAAGGATTAAAACATACTGAAAAAGTTTTCTGACTCAGTCTTAATAAAAACAAATCTGACATGGACTAATTCAAGCTATGGGATAATAAATGTTGGGGAATCAGAAGATGAAATGATAAATATCTGTTGGAGTAGCAAAGAATGACTTCCTGGCGCAAGTGAGTTTTAACAAATAAGTAATGTTGTTATGATAGAAAATGTTTGAATTTTTTTCAGTCTCTATTTTAGATACCCTTATTTCTCATTTTCCATTTTTATGGATAATCTATAAATTTTATTAAATGACGTTATATATCCATATAAATATAAATTCTATTTGTTGTTTTTATTAATGTGTCATGTATTACTTGTCTAAGTTAAAAGACGTCATAGAGAATAATTTTGCTAGATGTCTCAAAAATTTACCTGTTAAATATTGAGTTTTTTTAATTCTTTGTGAAGCAATGTACTTCCTTAAAATAGGGGGTCCTTGCCTTGTGTTCTGGAATCTGGAATATACTGTTATCCAGGATACAGCTCCTGAACTCTCTCCGTTAAACAAACGTTCCTATTAGGGCTCTTTAATGGGATGTTAATTTCTCTAGGGTTTCTTATGTGGTACATAATATCAGTTTATATCCCCCGGTGAGACTCTGATCCAACTAAAGTTTTATATCAGGCTAACTTTTCATACTTGCAAGAATTGGCTTTACCGTGGATTATTATTATTAACTAAAACTGTGCAGTTTTCTAAAGACGCTAGTAGATTGAATTCACATAGTCAAGCCATAGTCTTTGGTTATTTTTTTCCCTCTTGTTCCCTGAAGATCCCTCATAGGGGAGACACATGGCTGAGAGAAATGTCAGTGTGATAACCGACTTCATCCTGCTGGGGCTGACGGATAACTCTGAACTGAGTATTGTTCTTTTTGTGCTGTTTCTCTTGATCTATCACTTTACTGTGGTGGGCAGCATTTGGATTATCACAATAATCCTGGTCAGCGCCCAGCTCCATCATCCCAAATACTTTTTCCTTAGCCAGTTGGCTTTCTTAGATTTCTGCTATTCTTCAGTCTTTATTCCTAAAATGTTGGTGAACTACATATCAGGAGAGAAAGTTGTCTCCTATCCAGTTGCCTCCTTCAGTATTCCTCTGTCAGCACGCTCCTGACGGTCGAAGTCTTCCTCCTGGCTGCAATGGCATGCGAACGGTACGTTGCCATTTGCCTCCCACTTCACTACAAAGGTCTCTTGACCCCAGGTTCTGTATCCACCTGGTGAGTGCTTCCTACATCTTGGTTGTGCCAACTCACTCATCTGAGCGGCTTGCTTAGCCTGTCCAATGTCATTAACCATTATTTCTGTGATATCCTTTTGCTCTTTCAACTTTCCTGTTCTGACAACCCAGGACAGTGAGGTTTTATTTACTGTCCTCTCTGAGACCACATCAGCAACTACCTTTCTGATAGTGGTTTGTTCCTACCTGGGAATTCTTCTCGCTATCCTGAAGATACGCTCTACAAGGAGCAGATATAAAGCCCTCTCCACATGTCCCTCCCACCTAATGGTAGCGACTCTTGTCTATGGAACAGTGATATTTACTTACCTGGGAACTAGCTCTGGCTACCCACAGGGGAGAGCCAAAATCCTGTCTGTGTTTTACACCCTTTCGCTGCCAATACTAAATCTTCTGATATATAGTGTGAGAAACACAGAGGCCAAAGAAGCAATGAAAAGAATTATTATGAGAAAAATATTTGCTCAGTGATTATGAATTTTCAAATAGAAATATTTATTGATTCTACAGGCAGGTACATTGCTAAATACCTGTGGAACTTGTTGGAGAAAAGAAGGATAGTATTTTCAAAGCAGCTTGTGTGCAAAGATATGTTCATTATTGGCTTGTGGATAATAATATAATAATATGCGTGTGTGGGTGCATGTGCATATATATATGCAATACATTCTGTCGGAGAGGAAAAAATTTTCCTCTATCCTCTTAGGTTTGCTAATTGACATCCTATAAATGAAACTGACAAAAGACAGATTAACAGGAGAAAAGACAGTCTATTCATATGTAAATAAGAGTGCACAAAAAATGTGGTTTGCTCAATAATTAGAGATGGGGTTTATACACCTAATTTAAAAGGGGAAAGGGAGAGGGAGAAAAGGCTTCTATGGGAAGAACAAATGGGCTTTGCAGGGAACAAATGGAAGATAAGAAATTTTGTGATATTATTTGTTTATGCAGGTGCCAGGGGTCCTTTCTGTCTTCTTCTCGGCAGGCAAAACTCCCCAGGGAGAGAGGATTTATGGCAGCCTCGCTTGTAGAAGTTTCTGACCTCAGTTAAATAAGAGAATTTCTGAAAAAGTCTCTTTCTGCATCTATTGAATCCCAACTGTTTTCCATTTAAAATAATTTTATGCCATTGTATAATTTGGATCCTTTCAATTCCCAAATTATTATTTTGAACCTCTGCTAACTTCCTATGTAATAAATTGACGCCATCTTCTAAGGATTGGTTAGTTACAAAATAGGATCTTCAGTTTTGACAAAGGATATAGTAGAACCAGTAGGTGACAATCACACAAACTTACACACAGAAACACATGCATGCATAACTCGAGAATCGTTTACAGAGAAAAAATACGTTCTTCCTCCTCCTTTACAACTCTGGAAGAGCCAACCCATTTTACAGATGAAGAAATAAAGGATCAGTGGAGTTAAAAACTTACGAAAATAAGACAACATCCGCATTTGAAGAGGTAGAACATATTCATGTACTTGCCACAGGCTTCCTCCCATTTTACATAAATCATAGACTCTCCTGTATGTATTTTGTATGCCATCTTTGATTAGAACTGTTAAAATTTGAATATTTAACTTTAAAAAATAACTCCATAGGCACAGAAGGGCTTCTTTTTATGGCGACTCAATTTCTACCAGTTGTTTAACAGAAATGCCAAAATAATAATGCAAAGATATTCTATCACATCAGACTACAGTGGATTTTGCTTAAAATCAACCTTTAGGAAACTTCCGTAAAACAGTACAATCATTTAAAAATGGTAATAGTTTTTTTTTTAAACAAAATGACTATTGGAATGCCGTTTTGCTTATGTTCATCATTCCATATAGTGTTTATTGTTCTGCTCACTCAGACATGAGTCAAAAACCAAGTCTAGCACTGTTGTTATCACCACAACTGTTAAGAAAGCAAACACAGCCTTTGCTAAATGACACCTTTGCAATATGCAGTGAACAATGGTTTTGAGTTTGTGTAAAGAATGTTTATATCTATTCAATGGCTCACAGTAATAAATCTCATCTGTTAAAATCTATAAATCTATGGACTTTTTCCTTTTTACTTGACAATTACATTTGTGTAAATATGTAACAAAATATGTGAAAGCAAATTTTATTTCATTGTCTTTATACAGCCCATTATTTTCTTCCAGAATAATCCCATTGTCAAATATTTTAACTGCATATCACAATAACAGCCATGCATTTTTCAAAAAATAAGTAATCACTGCCATTGCTATAACCAAGTTTTAAAAGCAAAACTAGTATTATCATTTAATAAAGGAGTCCTTAGGACATGGCAAGCAGCTTTCTGAATGATATCTCACAATCACAGACTAAAATTTAAATCTACATAAGGGCCACCAAATCATCCATCTTCTGGTGTTAATACTTCATGTTTTAACGTCTTACAAAGTAATTTATACCATAATGATAAAGTCTGTATATAAAACTTCATTTTTCTAATTGTTTGCATCTCAATAAAGTTCTAATAATGAAATTCTTTGGTAAAACATGTAAATATTATTTTGATACTTTGCTAAATTACTTTCTGAACGACTTATTTAAAACCTAATGCTTTCACCAATGCAATTATATTTATTTAAAAGTTTAGTTATTTTAATCTAATAGACATAAATAACTAATGAATGTACTGTAATAAAATCTCAAGATCGTGGGAAAAAGTCAAAACCAATAATGTGAAAATTAATAAAGATACAATGAGTGATTGTGTTCTTTCCTCGTATTATCACTTGATTTCATGAGAAAACATTTGAGAACATAGAGTTTTTCTATTCTTTTTCTCAAAAATGGACTTGAAGTCATGGTCACTGGACCAAAATCAAGAAAACAAAAGCATATTGAATCAAATATAAGGGGTAAAATCAAAAGAAATGGGCATTCTGAAATATTATAAAATTACAGATAGAGATATTGTTTAGGAATACCATTAAAACCACGAGGAACCCAGATGTCTTTAAATATTTCTCACTCAAGCTATAAATTGGTAGAGTGAATTTTCCCAAGAGTTTTAGGCAGAAATATAAGAGGACAACAAAAATTAACTTCTCAGACCTAGCAAGATCTTATTTACATACAAAGGTAGTTTCTCCAGCAATCACTAAAGCCCCCTAGCCAAAAAAAGACTTCCCTGAAGTTTGCTTCATCCACTTCTGAAGTTTGTGATGATCCTGTTTCTGACAAGATTTTTATGCCTTTTAAATTAAACCAATGTTAAACTAATTTGACAGCATGTGAGTGAATGTGGTCTCTTTGTTTAGATCTATAAGAAACCTGAAGATATGTGTTTGATTTTGTTGCTATTAAAAGCCTCTGTTAGTAGTGCAATGCTAACAGTAATATATACCAATATATATCTACATATCAATCTGTCTCTCTAGCTCTATAAATATATATATACATACCTACATAAGTATATTGTTTGCATGATAAGATTAAGGTATTAAGTTGTTGTGTTCTAATTTTTTTGTTGTTATTATGTTCTACTTTGATCTACAGTGGTCAGACAATCTTGAATTAACATATGTAGTTATGAATATTAAATATCTAAATCTTCCAATTTGTTTAAGTTCTTTTGCACAGAAAAACAACAAGGATGATAAAAACACATAATTATGGAGAAATATAGAATTGAAAGGGTCAGGGCACATATTATAATTGCCTCATTATGGAAGAAATGTCATGAGAAAAAGGGATTAGATTTGTTTTATAGAGTTGAAGGAATACAATGATAAGAATTTTAA